ATGCAACAGAATAAATGTTCTCTTGTAAAAAAGCGATTATTGGCTTTGGTGTATCCACCTATACAGAGTCTGAAAGTATTTATATAACAATATACCATATTTTGAAAGACATTTGAGAAAATATAATGTGTAATGATAACATAATCCTTAACATAGAGAACAAAACTTCCAATCCAATTGTAATGGATGGTATGTTCTTATATGAGCATAAATGGAACTGGCTTTTCCAGTTAATTATAGCTTGAAGGATTAAAATGTAAAAGCTAGATCTCTCCATTATTCAGTCTGGGCTCTGTTCAGAAACCCAGTACAAATGCAGTCCGCTATTGGTCTTGAAAGGCATATGTTATAATCTTGCAAAGAAGTTTTGTGCACAGTTCAAAATATACTCATAGATGTTTCCAGCACAAAATACGGTTATTCAGTCCATCATGTTGTGCCAGGCCAAAAAAATCCCGATACACTAATCTGTTTTCCCAGTTTTGGCCCATAGCTTTGGAGGCGATAACAACACAAGTGAATATCTAAATACTGCTTAAACATTCCAAGAGCTTCTAACTGAACCATCCTTTCAGGCAGTTAGTTCCAGACTCCCACCACCCTCTGTCTTAAATGGGCAGCTCCTTACTCTGAGATTATGCTGTCAGGTGCTAGACTCTCCTAAAAAGGAAAACAACAACCATTCGACATTTGCCCTGTCAAGACCGCTTAGAATTTTGTATGTCTTCTTTAGGTCTCCTGTCATTCTCCTCAACTCCAGTGAGCACAAGCCCAACCTCCTTAAATTCTCCTCCACATCCAAGATCAACTTAATGAGTCTTCTCTGGACTGCCTCCAATGCCAGTATATCTATCAGATAAGAGGACCAGAACTATTCTCAGTATTCCAGCTGTAGTCTAATTTGTGCCATGCACAGTTTTCACAAGACTCCCTATTTTTAAACTCAATTCCCTTTGAAATAAAGGCTAAAATTCCATTTGAATTCCCTATTATGTGCTGAACTTTGGATGTTAGCTTTTTTGTGATTAATGCTCTAAGACCAATCCAAATTCCTTTATGTGGCAGCTTTATGCAGTCTTTCCCCATATAATTAATATTCAGCTTGACTCAAGATATAAAATCAGCTCCCAAAGGATCAGCATTTGGATGCAGAGAAAAGAACTGGCTCTTCAGTTTGACCAGCACTACCTTTAAAGTAAGTTATATGGATACAATACAGACAACTATAGCTGGGCACTGAGTAAGGTCTACAAACAGGCTCAGCTGAAAATGCAAATCCAAAATTTGATCAGCCAAATTTTCATTCAGTTTTGGAGCTGCAACTACAGATGGGCATTCCTGAGGTTTCATCATACATGTGAGTGTGCAAATCACCTGGCTTTGATCCATCTCCAGGAAACTCTCCCCTCAGCGAGTTTGGATTAGAAGGTAGCTCTACCTGTCTGCTAGCAGTGAATAGATGATTAACCTGCCCATTTATGGCATTTGTTAGAAGCCATCTGTAATTTTCCAGGTGGTAGGCAGATTCTCTCACAGAGGTCTAAGCCTGGCCGATAAACAGAAGTGGCCTTCTGGAGGCAGACAACAGGGATTTGCGGGGAGATGACAGGCAAGGGTTATAAATGGCTCATTCACTTAAACCCCTCCCCTGTCCCTCAGCCACAAATGTCAGATGGCTGTAGCCGTGGGCATAGGCTGCCTTGTGGAAGCGTTCCCTCTCCACTTTGAAGGTCTGGTTATCACATTTTTGTTTTACACTTTGGAAAGTTCTTTAGCGGGTGCCTTCATCTTGATAAACCTTCTTTGTTTCCTATTTCCATTAGCAGCTCCAATTCTGATGATGGGCTTGGTAATCCTTCAATGCTGGAGGAGCTACTATTTGTTCTTCAGCTCTACTGGATGCAGTTACTTAATTAGTCGTTCTCTCCAAAATCACTCACTGGGTCCCAGTACCAACATGTCTAGGTTCCTGGCTTGCACATCCTAGTCATGATGGGATCAGAGATAACACAGTGTCGAGCTGGAGGGACACAGCAGGCCAGGCAGCATCAGAGGAGCAGGAAAGCTGACGTTTCGGGTCGGGACCCTTCTTCAGAAGATACGTATCACTGTGTTATCTCTGACTCCAGCTTCGGCAGTTCTTACTATCTCAAGATGGGATCAGGATCCATTACTAATTCTTTTGTTAATGGTTTCATTATTTGAATATGTCACTTACTTACCAAGAAGAAGATACTACTGTGAGTAAACAGTATATTCTATTAGCAGTAAACAGTTTTCAAACCTGATCTTACTTTGTACGTCGATCCTGATTTAATAAAATTTTTTTCCAAAACATTGTCAAGTGCAGGATCCAACTCTTCTCCTACATCCTCCATAAGTAGAGGGCGACCCAGAGACAGACAGTCCTCTAGGTGGGTTCTGAAGTATTTATGATTTAATGATGTTATCTGCAGGCACAAAATTAGATTAATCAATTAGCTCAGTGAAAACCATTAGTTAAGATTAAGAAGAAACAAAAGCCACAATTTGTCTTTTGGTTCAGCAAGTGATTTCAAAAGCAACAAAAGAACACTTCACAAAATACAAGATTGTGAGAAACACTGCATAGGCTTTTTTCAAACACATTCCCTTGGACTCTCTTTCTCAATTTCACATCAATTTGTCTGACCCTTTCAACAGGCAAGCATATCAAGTGAAAACGTTGTACTTTTGTACATGAAGATTCAATGTTACTTCCTGCAGCCCAATTTTATAGGCATTACATTGATAGAAGCACAAGGAAGTGAATATAGGTCTCTCGTGAATTTAAATAGCCCATTTCATTGCAAGTGAATCATAGAATTGTGCAGCACAGAAAGAGACCATTTTCCCACTTAGGTATGTGCTAACTAAGTCAAGAAGTATTTATAATCCTTCATTGGGATATTAAAGTATCTGTTATTGCATACAAATGATCAATAGATATGATTTGATAGCCATTACAGAGAAATGGCTGCAGGATGACATAGATCGCAACATATATATCGAAGGTTGCAGCGAATTTAGGAAGGACAGGAAACTACGAAAAAGTATACATGTCAGTCTGTTAATGATGAAATCAATTCAGTAAAGAGCCAAAAAGGGACTTGGGAGTCTGAGTTCAGAATTCATTTAATGTTAATATGCAGGTTCAGTCAGCATTTAAGAAGTTAAATGCAATGTTAACATTCATTTCAAGTGGGCAAGAAAACAAGAGCAGAGATCTCCTACTGACGCTGTGTAAGGCTCTGGTCAGACTGCTTTTGGAACATTGTGAGCAGTTTTGGACTATGTATCTAAGGAAGGATGTGCTGGCATTGGATGGGTCCAAGAAGGAGGTTTACAAGAATGACCCCGAGGATGAAGGGCTTGTTGTATGAGTAGCGATTGAGGACTCTGCATCTGTACTCAATGGAGGTTAGATGGATGAGGGGGTTCTCATTGAAACTTACAGAATACTGAGAAGCTTGGATAGAGTGCATGTGCAGAAGATGCTTCCACTAGTCGGAGAGACTAGCACCCAAGGGCACAGCCTCAGAGTGAATGCACAACCATTTAGAACTGAAATAAAGAGGAATTTCTTCAGCAAGAGGGTGGTTAATCTGTGGAACTCATTGCTGCAAGGGCTGTGGAGGCCAAGTCATTTCATGTATTAACTAGAGAGATGGACAGGTTCTTGATTGGGAAGGGGATCAAGGGTTACAAATAGAAGGCAGGAGAATGGGTTGAGAAAAACATCAGCCATGATCGAATGGTACAGCAGAATTGATGGACCGAATAGCCTAATTCTGCTCCTGTACCTTATGATCTTATGGTGAGTAGTGCTAAGTCAGTTAGTAATAAATGATGAGACTGGAATATCTGGCGAAATCTGGTGTGGCTGAAATGTGATTGAGGGATGGTGTTGCATGCAATACAGGTATTTCTGCTATAATACATGTTTCATTAACGCAAATTGGCTGTAACATGAATGATAAAAAGTGGGCACTGTTTGGATAACACGAACTTTCTACTGTACAGCATAATGATTTCCCTATAACGCGATTTTCTATCCTGTGATTTTCTATAGCATCAGACCACACAAGAACACAACTTTCACATTATAGGAGAAATACCTGTCGTGAGATGCTAGACCATGAGCCTTGATTGGAGGTAGGCCCGGTCGCAGAGATAGAGCGAATGTGAGGTAGCAGAGAGAAGATTGAGGCACTTACTATTATGGAACACTAAAGGACATTAACCATCATCCTGCATTGCTAGACATTTTTCCAACATGGGTGGCATGGTGGTCAGTGGTTAGCAGTGCCGCCTCACAGAGCTAGGGACCCAGATTTGATTCCAGCCTTGGGTGACTGCTTGTGTAGAGTCTGCATGTTCTCCCCATATCTGCGTGGGCTTCCTCTGGTTTCCTCCCATAGTCCAAAGATGTGCATGTTAGGTGGATTGGCCATGGTAAATTACCCTGTATTGTCCAGGGGTCTGCAGGTTAGGTATATATCTATACTTGGTAGATTAGTCGTGGTAAATGAGCTGTTACAGGAATAGGGTGAGATGTTCTTCAGAGGGTTGGTGCAGACTCGATGGGCTGAACAGCCTCTATCTGCCCTGTAGAGATTCTATGATTATCGACACTGCACGGACCCAGGTGGGAACTTCTGACACCAGGCTGGCAGAGTCTGGTGCTATCTGTGGGGGTGGGGGTGGCACGGTGCCTCAGTGGTTAGCACAACTGCCTCATGGCCACAGGGACCCGGATTTGATTCCAGCCTCGGGCGACTGTGGAATTTACACATTCTCCCCGCATCTGCGTGGATTTCCTCTAGGTGGTCTGGTTTCCTCCCACAGTCCAAGATGTACAGGCTAGGTGGATTGGCCATGGAAAATGCAGGGTTACAGTGACAGAGTAGGGGGTTGGGTCTGGGCAGGATGGTCAGTGCGGACTCGATGGCCAACTGGCCAGCTTTCACATGGTAGGGATTCTATGGTTCATCTTCCAGGGCCTCCAGGTCCATGTTGCTGTAAAGAGGCACCACTTTCTCAGCCATATCCTTGAGCAATGTGCACAAGGCACTGTGGATGGCAGTTCCTCTCTTGCGGCCCTTGAACAAGTGCAGAACTGGGATTTAAATTTGGTGCCAATGGCACAAATTCCAGACGATTGTGGCAGCAGTGAGGACATCCGCCCTTGCAGAGCATGAGATAGCCTGACAGTGGCACCGTGGAGATGTGGAGCATACATAAAGGGTGAGCTACAGAGAATCGTGTGAGATAACTCATTGCAGCTCATGAAGGGAATCCTTCCAACAAACTCCCAAAAACTGCCAGTCAGTCAACTTTTCTTTTAATTCAGTCCTTAGAGATTAATCACAAGGGAAGAATGGAAATACAAGAGAAAGATAGCCAGAAATATAAAAACAGATAACAACAGATTCAACAGATTTTTGAAAAGAAGAGTTAAGAAGCTAAGCTGTGGTCCTATAGAAAGTGAGCCTGGAGAATTAATAATGGAAAATAAGGTGATGGCAGATGATTTGACCAGATATTGTGCACCTGTCTTCACTATTGATGATATAAGTAACGACCAAGAAGCTATAAATCAGGAAATGGAAGGGAGGGAGATTACAATCACCAGGGGAGTGGTACTGAGAAATTGTTGGAGCTGTGGTTTTGATGCACTTTGTCCGAGAGACATAAAAGAAATGACTAGTGGGATAATTGAAGCATTGGTTTTACTTTTCCAAAATTCCCAAAATTTGAGGGAAGTTCCATTTGATTGGAAAGTTGAAAATGTAACTGTTCTATTGAAAAAGGAGGGAACAGAAAGCAGCAAACTACAGTCCAGTCACTTGACAACTTTCACAGGGAAAATATTAGCTTTTATTAAATAGACTGTAACATGGCACTAAGCAAAATAAATAAGGTGATCAGACAGAGGCAACATGGTTTAGTGTAAGGGAAAACATATTTAACCAATTTCTTGGAATTCTTTGAAGAGAAATATTGTAAATAAAAGGGAATCAGTGGATATAATTTGATATTTGACAAAGTGCTACATTAAGGATTATCATGAAAACAAAAGCTCATGAGATCATTTTGGTATGAATAGAAGTTTGGCTAGCTAGCTGAAAACAGAGAGCAGGCGTAAATGGATAATTTTCTGGTTGGCAAAATGTCACACGTGATGTGTCACAGGGATCAGTGTTCGGCTCGCAACATTTAAGTTTATATAAATGATGTGGATGAAGTTACCAAAGGTATTGATGCTAAATTTGCTGAAGACACAAAGATAGGTAGGAATGCCAGTTGCAACCTGAAGCTTTCTCCATACATTGCATGGACTGCGACATACATCCTCGGGTAAGGCAAAGGGGAGGTGGGGTCTGCCGCCTAATCAACATCTCCTGGTGCTCAGACATGGCGACTCTGGCAAGATACTGCTCCCCGGACTTTGAATATCTTTCAGTGAAATGTCGTCCTTTCTAGCTTCCATATGATTTCACCTCCGCCATCCTGACATCAGTCTACATACCAACCCTGGCTGAAGTGAAGAACGCTCTGGATGAAATTTACATCATTTCAAATGCTCAGGAGACAAAATTCCCCAAACCCTTATTCATCGTGGGTACTGACTTCAACTAAGCCAACCTCAAGAAGGTGCTATTAAAACACAACCAACATGTCTCCTGCCCCACCAGGGACCAAACATCCCTGACCACTGCTTTATAACCATCAAAGACACCTACCGCTACATCCCCCGTTCACATTCTGGAAAATCAGAATACAATGCAGTGTTCCTCCTCCCAGCTTACAAGCAGAAGTTGAAATAAGAGGGTCTTTCACAGGAAGTAATACATTGCTGGTCTGAGGCAGCGGAAAAGCTTCTTATGGACTGCTTAATTTTGGTGGAATGGACCATATTCAGGAATTCAACAGGCAGCCTAGACAAATACGCTACCAATGTCACAGACTTCATTAGCAACAGCGTAGAGGACGGCGTGCCAAAGAAGTCAATCCATGTGTTCACCAATCAGAAACCCTTGGATGAACCAGGAAATCCACTGCCTACTCAAGACCAGGCATGCGGCATTCAAGTTGGACCACCCAGACCAATACAGGAAATCCAGAAATGACCTCTGCACAGGCGTTAGAGATGCCAAGAGGCAGTACCAGACCAAGCTAGAGGCCCAAACTAACCACACAGACACCTGCTGCCTGTGGCAAGGCCTACACAACATAACGGGATACAAACAAAGCAGAACAAAATAGCGGACAAAAACACATCCCTTCCTGACGCGCTCAAAGCTTTCTATGCTCGGTTTGAGGAGAATGCCAGTGGTGTGGTGTCACCTGCCCCTACAGCCTCATACGTACATGTTCCCTCTTTCACTGTTGCAGATGTCAGATTGGTTTTCCTGAGAGTCAACCCAAGGAAAGCGATAGGTCCAGATGGAGTCCCTGGCCATGCACTTAGATCCTGTGTGGACCAGCTGGCAGAGGTATTCACTGACATTTTCAACCTCTCCTTACTACAATGTAAAGTCCCCACCTGTTTCAAGAAGGCCATCACCAACCCAGTACCATCAAAAAACACACATGCAACGTGCCTCAATGTCTACTGCCCAGTGGCTTTGACCTCCATAATCATGAAGTGCTTTGAGAGGCTGGTCATGGCCCACATCAACTCTAGCCTCCTAGCCTGCCTCGATCCCTGCAATTTAGCTACTGGCCAAACAGGTCCACAGTGGACATCATTTCCTTAGCCCTACACTCATCCCTGGAACATCTGGGTAACAAGGACACCTACGTTAGGCTCCTACTCTTTGACTACAGCTCCGCCTTCAACACCATAATCCCTACCAGACTGATCTCAAAATTCTGAGACATGGGTTTCGGCTCTGCCGTCTGCAACTGGATCCTAAGCTTCATGAGCCACGGACCACAATCAGTGAAGATGGATAACAGCACCTCCTCCACAATAATCTTCAGTACTAGCGCCCTGCAAGGATGTGTTCTCACCCTCCTAACGTACTCCCTGTACACCCATGACTGTGTAGCCAAATTCCATACGAATGCCATCTGCAAGTTTGCTGATGACACCACCGTGGTAGGACAGATATCAAACAACAATGAGTCAGAATACAGGAAGGAGATAGAGGGCTTGGTGTCATGGTACAATGATAACAGCCTCTCTCTCAATGTTAGCAAAACAAAAGAATTGATCATTGACTTCAGGAAGAAAGGAGGAGGACACACCCCTATCAACATCAATGGAGCTGAGGTGGAGAGGGTTGGGAGCATCAAGTTCCAAGGAGTGCCAATAACCAACAACCTGTCCTGTACCTCCCACACAGATGCGATTGTCAAGAAGGCATGACAATGCCTCTTCTTCCTCAGGTGGCTCAGGAAATTCAGCATGTCCATAAAGACCTTCATCAACTTTTACTGATGCATCGTAGAAAGCATCCTATCCAGGTATATAACGGTTTGAGATGGCAACTGCTCTTCCCAGGACTGTAAGACATACCAGAAAGATATGTGCATAGTCCACACCACCACGGAAGCCAACCATCCAACTGTGGACTCCATTCACACAGCTTGTTGCAATGGAAATGCTGCCAATATCATCAAAGACCTCTCCCAGTCCAGTAATGCTCTCTTTCAACCTCTTCTGTCAGGGAGAAGATACAGAAGCTTGAACATACGCACCAACAGATTCAAGAACAGCTTCTTCCCTGATGTTATGAGATGCTGAATAGACCTCTCTAATTTCAAATAATGTTGACCTTGCTAATGTTGATCTTGCTTTGTGCACCTCCTGTGCAGCTGTAACTTGTAACTCTGTCTAAGCACCCTATGAACTGTATGTACTTGTTTGCTATGATCTGCCTGTACTGATTGCAAAACAAAACTTTTCACTGTACTTAGGTACATGTGACTACATTAAATCAAATTAAAATCAAGAGAACATAAGGAGGCTACAAAGAAATACATATATATATGTGTGTAATATATTTTTATAGATATATATATATAGGCTATTGATGAAAAATACACATTTGTATTGCATTGATCGAGATAATCTGCAAGAATATCAACATAAGGGAAAACCAACTGCATGAGAGAAGAGAGCTAATTGATTGGCAATCAAGTGGCCTATGATTGATAGAGATGTTGTCATGGAGAATGGAACCTTGAAGCAGAAGTTGATCGATTCTTGAGAACCAATAGTGTGGTAGGTTATTAGGAATAGGCAGGAATTTGTAATATTGAGCTTAGCAATGATCTTACTGAATGATGGAACAGGTTTAAGGGGCCAAGAGGCTATCCTCTGCTCCTAATTTGTAAGTATGAAGAAAGGAAAGGAAAGGAAAGGAAAATATAAGAAGGAAAGAATGGAAAGAAGTCTTGAAGAGCTTTACAACCCATGAAATACTTTTAGAGTGTAGTCACAGTTGTAATGCAGGAACCAGAGGCATACTTTGCACACAACACCAACCTTGCTTTTTTCACAATGGTGCTATGGTGCATTTTTCATATAATTCAGAGGACAGATATGGCCTGGCTTTAATGCCTCATCCAAGTAATAGCACCCCTGACAGTGCTGTATTCCATCACTCAAGTAAGGCACGAATGTTCTTCTTGCCTCTGCAACTGACCATTGGCAGCCACCTTCCTACCACTTCTCCTATGGCAAAGTTGCAACTCATCCCCCTTCCCCAAGCAGGTGAAGTTACTGAGGTGGTCTGTTACCTGCAGCTGGGGACTGCTGCTGAGGATGGGTTGGGGGAAGAGGCCTTTTGCTGAAGCAGCAATATTTGGCTTTAGTCACAGCAGCATTTTGCAAGATCGGGAAGGGGTCAAAGACATCATTTTTTGCTGAGGCTTGGAGCCTTTTGTCCCTTTGAAAGTCCCCCTGAGGTTTAGAGGGTTCTTTGCCCAGGCTGGTCCTTTGCCAAGATTTGGCGGGGGGGGGGGGGACTTTAAATGGGTCCTGGGGTTCAGTCTGCTGAGATCTCTATTTTCTAGGTCCAGGTAGGAGGGGGCTTCTGCCAGGGGAGGGGATATAGCTGAAAGAGGGGTGGAATGTTTCAGGGGAAGA